CTAGAATATTTTTAAAAATTAAAAAAAAAATACCTGAGAAGAAGGCTCAGAAGGGTCCACAGATGCTGAGGAAGGAGGAGCAGAATTCCCAGTGTGCCCAAGAAAGGAACAAGCGAGGACATTGACCTGGGTTGGTCCCACTGGTCTCAGCTAGACCTCAGCCTAAGCGGTGCTTTCTGCGGGGCACCTTGGGGTCTGCTCCTTGGCCTCCCAAGCTCAGCCTGAGCCACAGACATGGCGTGGGGATAGCTCAGAGAACTGTGGCCAGGGTTCCCCGAGTCTCTCTCTCACCTGGCTCAGAGAGGAAGATGGGAAGAGGACTGTGTGTGTGTGTGTGTGTGTGTGTACACAGGTGTGCACCTTTCTCAGGCTTTGGGTCCCCCAATGGATATTCTCCTTTTGGCTTTGGTTGCCTGATCCACCTAATCTGAGAAAGGTCGAGCCTATGAGGTACTGACTTACTCTTGCTCCCTGAAGATCAGCTAAGGGTAGACACCCCACGGGTAGATCAGGGTGTGAGTGGGAAGGTGTTGGCACACTCTGGTTCCCTCCTGGCCCAGACATGCTTGGCAATGGCTGCAGGAGTCTCCTCCCAGTTCTGCCCACCAGGCATCCTTCTCTGACACGACAGTTGTGATGGTTCGAGTAGTGGCGCCCCCCACACCCCTGCCCCTCTGGCCTAAGAGTGCTGACAGTTTCCAACTGTGCAAGTCCCAAGGTGCTTCTCTGCTTCTTGGAGACCTCTGTTAGCCCTGCCTGTACCTTGTAAATATTCCCTCTTCAATCGCACTACTTCTCGGAGTGCCATCTTGTTTTTCTCAGATATAGATTGCAAAGAGGTCCCAAGTTCCTGGCCTTAAACCGGCTGGGAAGAACTTTAATAGCCACTCCAGCCTAGCTTCCCATCCCTACTCCTCAGAATTCTCTGTGGTCAGATAAATCCCCCTTCCGTGGAGAAAAGGCCAGCCTGTTTGCTAAAGAAAATGCCTGCAGAGAACCAGTGTTTACCTCTCCAAAATGCCTGTATTTCATCACTCATGCACCTCTTTCTAGCAGCATCCAAGGAGCCAATGCACGAGTTGGGGAGGGGCGTGTTGCACTTAGAATCAATGAGACAGCAACACACTCCCCTGGCCCTCCCCTTGGCTCTAAGTTCATGTCTACCTTCAACTCCCCCAGGTGCTTCCAGGTCCAGGTGAGCAAGGTGGCCCTTGGTGTCCATTTATAACAGGTACACCTGTGTATGCACACAAACGTGTATATACATATGCATGATTGCACACATGTACACATACATGCATGCATTCCCATACATGCGTGCATGCATTCATACATATTTACATATACATGAACCTATAAGAAGTTTTAGCACACATCTGAAATACACACTGAACCCTCCAGTCACCCCCCAGCCTTAGAGCCAGCTGTCATAAAGGAGGACACATGATCTGACCCCTGCCCGTGCTTCACCTATGGCAGAGACAGGAGACAGCAGATTTGATAGTTGGCATAATCTGAAAATAGATCGATGAAGACCTCTGTAAGATCCCTTAACCTAGGATCTCCCAAAAAGTGTCCAGCAAGTAGAATTCACTGAGGTGCTTTGTAAAATATGAGATTCCACAGCCCAGGGCAAACAAACTGGGAAACAGACTACCATGTCATCCTCTCTTGGAGAATCACAAACGACACAGGTATTAAGGTCTCTGAGAAGCCCTGAAGAGAAGACATCTGTTAAAGGCCAGGAGATAGGTGATAGACTGGCAGGCAGATACGTCCATACCTACATACTTATTCACACATATACCTAGAAAGACTATGGATAGTTTTGTAGTTAAATTAACTCTGTAGACCATACTTCTAAATGACAACCAACCACTTTCATTTCATAAATGAAGAAATGGAGCTCAGAGGTGAATTGGCTGAAAGTCACACAGCTAGTGTGACAAATCTGGGGCTAGAACTCAGGCTTACTAATGCTGTGGCCTAGGTTCTTTCCAACAGGCCCCATTCCCCTTTTTGAATTCAATTCTAAACCCAAGGATTTCTGGTAATCAAAGAGATAGATGCTTATTTCCAAAACAAACCTCATGTGTGTGACTCCCCTCAGAGATGGCCTGGCTCCCCTGGAAGGCACATCCTCTGCTGAGCAAGGTGCTATTTTCTGTATCCCAGGCTCTTGGGCCTATTTGGGGCGTAGCAGGGCCCAAGGAGGGGCCCAAAGGCAAGCCTGACATTGGGCCCTGGCTCTGGGGACCCAGCTTCTGATATGCCACTTGAGTCAGGAAGGAAGTCTTCCAGACAGATATCCCTAGGCACAGGAGCTTGCCCTACCACCCCCAAGGATCAGATTAGAGAAATGAAAGCTGAGGTCTGACCTGGGCCATGGTGCCACAGGGCACAGAGCTGCCTGCCCTGCCTGACCCACCCCCTCAGCCCAGCACCCAGCTCCTATGCTCTGGGCTCCCAGTCACAGCACCTCTCCCCACTGCACACTCCTGGAACAGATCAGGGCCTGTTGCCCTGAGTGGAACATGCATACACTCCTTCTGTCACACTGTCTCTGTTCTGTGCATCTAATGCATCACACAGGCACATCCTGTCTCCTTATGCACCTCTAAAGCTTCTAGAGGACAGGGAGGGCCGTAACTCTGCCAGCACCTGCAGAGACTGGTGGTGGGCTGTGCGCAGTGCCTGCAGCACAGGAAGAGGACTCCTCCAGAGAGTGCCTAGCAAGGTGCTGACACAGGGAAGGCAGGCGCGGGGGCTCGGGGCTTATTAGTAAGTAACTCACCCCATCCAACAACCAAACAGTATGCACTGGGGATATATGGCATCGGATGGAGCATCATGAGGGAGAAAGTGCTCGAGGAACCCTGGAATGATGCATAACCAGACTTCCTCCGGGCCTTGCATCCCTCATCAGTGCAATGTGGGAACTGAGGATGGCTGAGGCAGCTTCTGGCTCTCAAACTCTGATTCGATTATAGACAGGGCGAAGCCTAAGCCACGTTTCATCATTCTCCCCTCCAGCGCTCTAGCACAGGAGCAGCTGAACAAAACCTTGCAGGGAGGGGGTTGTGCTGTGCCAGTCCCAACCAGGGTACGGCCTTCCCCCACCAGATGCACCTGCAGGAGCGAACCTGACAAGGCAGATCCAAGGGCCAATAGCTTTGATACCCCAACCAAAGTTTATATAAAGAGGAGATCAGCCACAAATGGACCTTCCTGGTCCAGATAACGGAAACCAGGTAGCATGGTCAGAAAGTTGTGGGGTTCCAGTCTCATCTCCTGCTTCTTTGGCAAAGATCCCTATGGGAGTCACTTCTCTTCCTCAGTTCCCCTCCCCATCCCACACTCCACAGGCTGCTGCTCAGGGCTTTCAGCATGAACAGCGATTCCTTCCTACCATGAACCCAGAAGCCCAGCAGTCCAGCCCTTGCTCCCCACTGTCCCAGCTTCTATCAGTCTCTAAGGTTTTTCTGTTGCTACACTGGAGCCCCAGGGGATCCACAGCACCAGAGGCCCCTTTAATGTGGCATGTTTGCCCATACTTTCCCTTTTCCCAGGCAGCAGACCCAGTGGGTAAAGGAAAGCCAACACCTCCCTACCAGACAGGGCAGAAGAGAGTCAGGAGCAAGCCGTGTTTGTATCTGCCCTGTGGCTGGAACACACAGCCTGGGTCCTGGAGGCCTGCCAGACTGGCCTATTGTCTAGCACTGTTTGCCTTTGGGGCAATGGGTGTCCTGGAGTGGAGAGGGATTGCAGAGCCTGGCTAGGGGTGGGCAGCAGGCCACAGCACCAGACAAGGGAGCCAGCCTTGGCGCCACAGGCTGGAAGGCTGGTTTGTGAAGCCCCTCAACAAGGGTCACTGGAGCTGAGTGCCTGCCTGCCCTCCTGTCTGCAGGCTCAGAGGACCCAAGTCCTGATAGGAACTCCTTCCTGCCTCTAAAAACCCTCTTGTCTTCCCTCTCCCAGGCTCCTGAGTGTCCGGATCTCCTCTCAGGGGTCTCCACCCACACACACCTCAACTCCACCAAAGAATTGAAAGATGAGGAGATGCTTCATGAACTGCCCAGAAGTATATGGCACCTGCTTCTGGGAACATCCAGAACTGGGGTGCTTGCATGTTATAGGTGGCTGGACTTAAGCAAAGCAGCCTGAGCCAACACCCTGTCACCCAGGGCTATAAGGATCCCGAACAAGCTACTTCCTCTAGGGCCTGCTTCCTTATTTATCAGACAAGGGGCTGGATTCCTGGATCTCTAAGGCCCTCCCAGCTTCAAAGTGCCACAACCACAGTGTGAGGAACAGAACAGACCATGATGCTACCAAAAGGCAACCAGAAAGACGTGTGCCTTTGGCCAAAGAGAATTTGAGCCATCAACTAATATGATTCCACTTGTTCATACCTTGCTATGGGGAATATACTACGTGTTGTCCATTACCACACCTTAAGGCATGATGACACATTTCAGAGTATATTTCACACTTTTGCATATACATCGCAAACTTTAGGCTAGATATACACTTTGAGGTATGTATATACTTTGAGGTATGCACACACCATATCTACACACTGGAATATATCCCACACAAGTGCAGAGCATACTGTGAAGAGATCATGCTAGGGGCATGCTGAGAAGTCAGCATTGGCTCTGGAAAGACTCTGGGGTGAAGAGCATAGGCACCCCAATAAAGCTGGCTACCACGTATTTCCATCATGTGTTGTTGACCTTTAAACAAACCATTTGCCCTCTGAGATACAGTTTCTTCACCTGTAAAATGAAGATAATAATAGAACTGACCTCATAGGGTTCTGGGCAAGATTAAATAAAGGAGTGTCTATAATAGGCTCCCCACAGTGTCCAGCACATAAGAATACTTAGTCAATGATAGTTTTGTTATTGCTCAAACATTTAAACATCTTTTATAACGTACATGAAATTGGGTGTTCCCAAAGTCTTAAAGCTTTCCAAAACTCAGATAACAGACAGGAGGACCACTTAATTCATGTTTATTTCACATTTGATCTGTAAACCATTTTATTTTAAAAAAAAAATCCACTGTCATTAGCAACATGTGCTGACATTAGTTTTTTTTTAGTGAAATAAGAGCGCAGGCCTTAAATTTTCTCCGTCTAAAACATGTAGAAACTGGGATGTAAACACGAAATCTCCACCTCCTCCCCTGTCTTTGGCAGTTCATCAGCGACATGATCTCAGCCAGAAAAGCAGGAAACAGGACAACACTTTGATACCTAAGAGCTCTTGGGGCAGGATCTGTACAGTTTGGAAGGCCCATTTGTCTTTTCAAACTGTTTACCTTGGGCAAATTGTATCAGGTTTGCTTCTTCCACATAATTTCCACTCCTTTGTGACTAAAAACAGCAGCCAAAAGATTTCCCCTAAGTCAGCGATTTCTGGGAGATGGGCACATACATACAAGATAGAAACATACATATTCTTCTTCAAGTAGTGGCCCCCAGGGGAGGGATGGGGCACCAGAAAGAGTCAGTTTTAAAGTGAGTTTCTGGGGCCAAGTGTGCCTCAGAGGACAATGGCTTTATACAGGACTGATGCAAGGCGGAGAGGTTCACTTATTTCTGTCTAGGTCCACCCTTGTAATATTTACATAGGAAAAGGCAATTATGCTGATAGGCACAGGAAAAAAAAATGGACAAAAATCTTTTCCCTGTCAGGAAATCTCAAAGCAGATCCACGTCCAAAAGACAGTCACCAGTTGCTGGTGAACCGGACATAGAGGGATATAACAACACTAGAAGACGGCTTGCATGGCGAAGCGGCTCGGCCTTTTGCTGTGTCTGCCTGGAGGGCATCTCCACAAGCAGGATTTCAACGTCACAGCCAAGGCCACATGACGCTGGGGAGGGACCCCAGGGTATACTATCAAAAAATAGTGTGTATTTACAGTGGGGGTGAGGTGGGCGGGCAGGGCTGCCCTGAGTGTTTTTCTAAAAATAGACAATTAGGGGTTGAGAGGAGCAGTTGGCCAGTGCTGGGAAAACCCCATTCATTAATCCTTTGGGAGCCTTGCCCCCTGGAGTCCTGTGCTTGCTCTGAAGAGCTGGGAGAACTTGGGAGGGCAAATAAACCTTTAGGAAACAATACTGATTAGGAGCGTCCCACCAGGAAAAAAAAAAAAAAATCTCTCCAGGTAAGGAGAGGCCATAACAAATATTGAGGGTGTATGTGGCCTTCCCAGCCAGCTGAACTTTTCCCTTGTGGAACAAATGTCCGCAGGAGGCCGCAGAGCACCCTCCAGGCCAGGAAACACGGAGCAGGCGGGGCCTGGGATTCAAAGTGCTAGGGCTGATGTGAAGATGCTCCCCTGGATGCCCAGGGCCTGCAATTGGCGCCAGTCTGTGAGCCGGGTGTGGGCAGCGTGCTCACACGATCCGCTTCCTACCCCCGCGGCAAAGGATCTTCTTGAACGCGCGGCGGAAGTCGTGGTTGAAGATTGTGTAGATTACCGGGTTCAGCGAGCTGTTGCAGTAGCCAAACCAGAAGAAGAACTTGAAGAGCGTGGGTGGCACCGAGCAGCCGACGGCCGTGAGCGTGTAGGTGAAGAAGAAGGGGAACCAGCACACCACGAACACGCCGATGACCACCGCCAGCACGAACGTGAAGCGCTTCTCGCGGTTCTGCCGCCCGCGCCAGCGCGACGCTTTGGCGCCCCCGCCGCGCTCCTCCCCGGGCCCCACCACCGAAGCCCCAGGCCCGGTTGCCCCTGGCCCGCGCCGGGGCAGACTGTCCCCGGGTTTCACCTGGCTCGCCCGAGCCTTGACTTTGGCCCGGGGGCCGCGCTCGGGTCTGCGGGGCCCCGGGGGTCGCTCAGCGTGTTCCGAGGAGGAGCTTTCCTCCAGGTCCACCGCGTCGGCCTCGCGCGTCCCGGCCGGTGCGGGCTCCCCCGGGGCGCCATTGAGCTGGGTGGGCAGCGGCTCGGCCTCTGCGCCCGCGGGGCCCGCGCAGCGCTCGGGGCCCAGGCCGTTGGGCCTGCGTTCGGCGCTCCCGGGCTGCGCGGCAGCGGCGTCCGGACCTCGGCGGCTGGGCGGCACGCGGGTGCGGCGCTTGGCGATCTGGTAGATGCGTATGTAGACCAGGATCATGATGAGGCAGGGCGCGAAGAAGGAGCCTATGCACGACGAGATGACGTACCACTTCTGGTCGTTGATCTCGCAGCGCTGCTCGGCCGGCTGCTGCCCGTCACCGCCGCCCTTCTTCTCGATGGAGATAAGCGGCGGGAAGGATATGACAGCCGAGATGACCCACACAGTAACGATGATGGCCTTGATGCGGCGTGGCGTGCGCTTCAGGTTGTACTCGATGGCCTGCGTGATGGACCAGTAGCGGTCCAGGCTGATGGCGCACAGGTGCACAATGGACGACGTGCAGAAGAGCACGTCGAGCGCCAGGTAGATCTCGCACCATGCCTTGCCAAAATACCAGTAGCCCATGACCTCGTTGGCCAGCGAGAAAGGAATGACCAGCGTGGCCACCAGGATGTCCGCCGAGGCCAGAGACACCAGGAAGAGGTTTTGGGGAGCCTTGAGAGCACGGCTGGTGAACACCGCGATGATGACCAGCACGTTGCCGAACACCGTGAGCAGCATGAGCAAGCCAGCCAGGCACACCAACGTCAGCGTCACCTGCAGGGAGTAAGGGATGGCCTGGGCACCGCCCCCTGGCGCCTCAGTCCCATTCCAGCTTGTGTTGCCGGCGTCCGGCTGCAGGGAGCCCATGGGCGCAAAGCTGCCCTCGGCCAGCGGCTGCTCCTGGCGGAACATGAACGCGGCGCCCTCTCGCCTGGACCTGGTGCCAGCTGCCTTCCGGCCGGCGCCCGTGGGTCCTCCTCTTCCTCCGGCGACCCACTCACCCCGCCGCGTCTCACATAGGGAGGGGGCCCCAAGGAAGCCGGGCCCAAGCTGGGGGGACAGCTAGTGGCCCATGGGCCCGGGTCCCGCGAACAGCGCCCGCCGGTGCTTTAGCGGCTCGGGGTGGGGGCCTTCTCTCTCCAAGCTCCTAAGCACAGCCAAGTTTTATTTCTAAGCAGGAGAGAGTAGGGCGAGCTGATGGTTAGAGAGTTATTCTTCAGGAAGGGAGAATAAAATTCATCGGTGGCCTGAAGACTTGGAAGGATGACAGGAAATTATACATATAACTATATATATATATAACTATATATAACTATATATATATATATATATATATATATATGTATGTATATATATATATATATATATCTTGCTTCTTGAGCCTGAGCGAAAGCGAGAGGTCTTACCGTGTGCGGGGCCCGCCCCCACCCCAGGAGGCAGCCAAGAGGTGCTGAGATGCGAGCTCAGGGTCCTATGTCTGTCTATATTCCCGAAGCGATTACCGACTCTGGAGCTTCCCGCAGACGCGGCGGTGCGGGCTGGGCCCTAACACCGGCCAGGGCGCGGACTCTGCCGCTTCTCCGAGCGCCGCGGGACTTCCAAAGTTGCGCGCCCTGCTGGGGCTGGGGCGCAGCACGCGGAGCTCGGGGACGGCAGCGGCGTGAGGGGTGTGGAGGCCGCATGAAGGCGCCCCCGTCCTCAGGCGTGCCGCGCCAGGTGAGCGATCCGCCCTCCAAGAGCCAAGGCTGAGGCAGGGTGTCTCCTAGGCGTCGGCTCGGTGGGCGCGAAGCTCAGCAGGACGGGCTGGGGGCCGAGGACAGCGTGAGTTGCAGCAAGAGCGCAGGACTAGGGAAAGAAGGCGCTGGGGTGGCGGGGAGGCGGCGCGCCGGCTGCTGGGCGTCTGCACCGGAGCCGGAGCCGCTGCTGTTCCGCGGCGCTACGGTGGACTCGTTTTATAGCCCCAGGATCAAGCCGGCGTTGCCGAGCAGCCGGCGTCAGCCCCCACGTGGGAAGCCGACCCTCCTCCGCCCCTCGCGCCTCCCCTCTGTTGATCTAGAGTCGGCGCCCAGTGCGGGACCCCAGGGAGCGCTGCCCCCCAAGCTGGACGGGCCCTTCGGAGAGGCGGGTACCTTGAACGAGGGGCTTTAAGAGAGAGTCTGGGGAGTGGGGAGCGGCCCCTACTGGGAGTTGGCTGTGCAGCTCCCGGACGATCCAGCCAACAGCAATAGGCACCCGGAGTGTCTCCATCGAGCTGGGTCTTGGGAAGAGAGGCTAGAAAGGAACCCCGGCCAGAATCGGGAGAAGCATTCTCGGGTAAGAGTCTCATCCAGATCAGCCCGACCCGGACCAGGCCGCCCTAGTCCGCAGGTGCTCCTGGCAGGAGAGGAAGGCGAGGGTTCCAATGGAACCCCTGAAGCGGAATGGGCAGCACCCAGGCGGGAGCCCGCGAGGCCAGAGTTCAGAGCTCCGTTTGGGGAAGAGGCGGCTAAGTGTCCTACCAGCCGCAAAGCTAGCAGCGGGACAGCGCTGCCTGGGGTCCAGACCGCGCCCTTCTAGACCGCTAAGGGGAGGGGTCCTCCAGGCGGAGGCGCGCCGCGACAGAACGAGGGCGCACTGACACCTGCTGGCCGCTCGTCCTCACGTCTGGGAAGCAACTGGCTGGCACCGGGAGACTTTCTCCAGTTTCTGTGGTCCTCAGCCTATACCTATATCTTGGGATAAGTTTAGGTCTGAGCTCAGGAAAGGAGAATCCAGATTTTAAATTGCATTTTGTCATGTCGCACAAATCTTTCTAAAGCAGGTACTTCTGTGTTTCTACCTCTGGCGGAAGGGGAGATTTGTCTGATAAAAGTCATTTGGAAGATCTGGCACACACTCCAGCCCATGACTGTGATTCCACTTTGGACCACACAGCCTATACTTGTGCAGACCCAAGAGAGGCCTGATCCTGCCTGTCACTCTGCCCAGCTTTGAGCTGCTGGGAACCATTATGTCCTTGTTGAGACACAAAGGAGCTCCAAGACTCCAAACACAAAGTAACGATAAAGAGATGGAAATGTTAATTACCATGATTTCATCAGTGCATGTTGTATACATGTATTGAAATATCACACTGTATCCCATAAATACGTACAATTATTTTTTTTTAAATTTTTTATTGTGGGTTGTTCAAAACATTACAAATTTCTTGACATATCATATTCCACACTTTGATTCAAGTGGGTTATGAACTCCCACCTTCACCCCATACACAGATTGCAGAATCACATCAGTTACACATCCATTGATTTACAAATTGCCATACTAGTGTCTGTTGTGCTCCACTGCCTTTCCCATCCTCCACCCTCCCCCCTCCCCACCTCTCCCCTCCCCTCCCCTCCTCTCTCTCTACCTCCTCCACTGTATAACCCTGAGGGTCTCCTTCCATTACCATGCAATTTCCCTTCTCTCTCCCTTTCCCTCCCACCTCTCATCCCTGTTAAATGTTAATCTTCTTCTCCTGCTCTTCGTCCCTACTCTGTTCTTAGTTACTCTCCTTATATCAAAGAAGACATTTGGCATTTGTTTTTTAGGGATTGGCTAGCTTCACTTAGCATAATCTGCTCTAATACCATCCATTTCCCTGTAAATTCTATGATTTTGTCATTTTTTAATGCAGAGTAATACTCCATTGTGTATAAATGCCACATTTTTTTTATCCATTCGTCTATTGAAGGGCATCTAGGTTGGTTCCACAGTCTTCCTATTGTGAACTGTGCTGCTATGAACATTAATGTAGCAGTGTCCCTGTAGCATGCTCTTTTTAGGTCTTTAGGGAATAGACCGAGAAGGGGAATAGCTGGGTCAAATGGTGGCTCCATTCCCAGCTTTCCAAGAAATCTCCATACTGCTTTCCAAATTGGCTGCACCAATCTGCAGTCCCACCAGCAATGTACAAGTGTACCCTTTTCCCCACATCCTCGCCAGCACTTGTTGTTGTTTGACTTCCTAATGGCTGCCAATCTTACTGGAGTGAGATGGTATCTTAGGGTGGTTTTGATTTGCATTTCTCTGACAGCTAGAGATGTTGAGCATTTTTTCATGTACTTGTTGATTGACTGTATGTCCTCCTCTGAGAAATGTCTGTTCAGGTCCTTGGCCCATTTGTTGATTGGGTTGTTTGTTCTCTTATTGTCTAATTTTTTGAGTTCTTTGTATACTCTGGATATTAGGGCTCTATCTGAAGTGTGAGGAGTAAAGATTTGTTCCCAGAGTGTAGGCTCCCTATTTACCTCTCTTATTGTTTCTTTTGCTGAGAAAAAACTTTTTAGTTTGAGTAAGTCCCATTTGTTGATTCTAGTTATTAACTTTTGTGCTATGGGTGTCCTATTGAGGAATTTGGAGCCCGACCCCACCGACTGTAGATCGTAGCCAACTTTTTCTTCTATCAGACGGCGTGTCTCTGATTTGATATCAAGCTCCTTGATCCATTTTGAATTCACTTTTGTGCATGGCGAGAGAAAGGGATTCAGTTTCATTTTGTTGCATATGGATTTCCAGTTTTCCCAGCACCATTTGTTGAAGATGCTATCCTTCCTCCATTGCATGCTTTTAGCCCCTTGATAGTTGTAGTTTTGTGGATTGGTTTCTGTGTCCTCTATTCTGTACCATTGGTCCACCCGCCTGTTTTGGTACCAGTACCATGCTGTTTTTGTTACTATTGCTCTGTAGTATAGTTTGAAGTCTGGTATCGCTATACCACCTGATTCACACTTCTTGCTTAGCATTGTTTTTGCTATTCTGGGTCTTTTATTTTTCCATATGAATTTCATGATTGCTTTCTCTATTTCTACAAGAAATGCCGTTGGGATTTTGATTGGCATTGCATTAAACCTATAGAGAACTTTTGGTAATATCTCCATTTTGATGATGTTAGTTCTGCCTATCCATGAACAGGGTATATTTTTCCATCTTCTAAGATCTTCTTCTATTTCTCTCTTGAGGGTTCTGTAGTTTTCATTGTATAAGTCTTTCACCTCTTTTGTTAGGTTGATTCCCAAGTATTTTATTTTTTTTGAAGATATTTTGAATGGAGTGGTTGTCCTCATTTCCATTTCAGAGGATTTGTCGCTGATATACAGGAATGCCTTTGATTTATGCGTGTTGATTTTATATCCTGCCACTTTGCTGAATTCATTTATTAGCTCTAATAGTTTCTTTGTAGAGCCTTTTGGGTCTGCTAGGTATAGAATCATATCATCTGCAAATAGTGGTAATTTAAGTTCTTCTTTTCCTATTTTTATGCCTTTAATTTCTTTCGTCTGTCTAATTGCTCTGGCCAGTGTTTCAAGAACTATGTTGAAGAGAAGTGGAGAGAGAGGGCATCCCTGTCTTGTTCCAGATTTTAGAGGGAATGCCTTCAGTTTTTCTCCATTCAGAATGATGCTAGCCTGAGGCTTAGCATAGATTGCTTTTACAATATTGAGGTATGTTCCTGTTATCCCTAGTTTTTCTAGAGTTTTGAACATAAAGGGATGCTGTACTTTGTCGAATGCTTTTTCCGCATCTATCGAGATGATCATATGGTTCTTATTTTTAAGTCTATTGATGTGGTGAATAACATTTATTGATTTCCGTATATTGAACCAGCCTTGCATCCCAGGGATGAATCCTACTTGATCATGGTGTACAATTTTTTTTATATGTTTTTGTATCCGATTCGCCAGAATTTTATTGAGGATTTTTGCATCTAGGTTCATTAGAGATATTGGTCTGTAGTTTTCTTTCTTTGAAGTGTCTTTGTCTGGTTTAGGTATCAGGGTGATGTTGGCCTCATAGAATGAATTTGGAAGTTCTCCCTCCTTTTCTATTTCCTGAAGTAGCTTGAAAAGTATTGGTATTAGTTCTTCTTTAAAGGTTTTGTAACATTCTGCTGTATACCCATCCGGACCTGGGCTTTTCTTAGTTGGTAGTCTTTTGATGGTTTCTTCTATTTCCTCAATTGATATTGGTCTGTTTAGGTTTTCTATATCCTCCTGACTCAATCTGGGCAGATCATATGACTTAAGAAATTTATCTATGCCTTCACTATCTTCTAATATATTGGAGTATAAGGATTCAAAATAGTTTTTGATTATCTTCTGTATTTCTGAAGTGTCTGTTGTGATATTGCCTTTTTCATCCCGTATGCTAGTAATTTGAGTTCTCTCTCTTCTTCTCTTCGCTAGCATGGCTAAGGGTCTGTCGATTTTGTTTATTTTTTCAAAGAACCAACTTTTAGTTTTGTCAATTTTTTCAATTGTTTCTTTTGTTTCGATTTCATTAATTTCAGCTCTGATTTTAATTATTTCTTGCCTTCTACTTCTTTTGCTGTTGTTTTGCTCTTCTTTTTCAAGGATTTTGAGATGAAGTATGAGATCATTTATTTGTTGGTTTTTTCTTTTTTTAAGGAATGAACTCCAAGCAATGAATTTTCCTCTTAGAACTGCTTTCAATGTGTCCCATAGATTCCGATATGTTGTGTCTGTGTTTTCATTTATCTCTAAGAATTTTTTAATTTCCTCCTTGATGTCTTCTATAACCCATTGATCATTCAGTAACCTATTGTTCATTCTCCAAGTGATGTATGCTTTTTCCTTCCTTCTTTTATCGTTGATTTTCAGTTTCATTCCATTATGATCAGATAAGATGCATGGTATTATCTCTACTCCTTTATATTGTCTAAGAGTTGCCCTGTGACATAATATATGATCTATTTTTGAGAAGGATCCATGTGCTGCTGAGAAAAAAGTGTAACTGCTTGATGTTGGGTGGTATACTCTATATATGTCAATTAGGTCTAGGTTATTAATAGTGTTATTGAGTTCTATAGTTTCCTTATTCAACTTTTGTTTGGAAGATCTGTCCAGTGGCGAGAGAGGTGTGTTGAAGTCTCCCATGATTATGGTGTGGTGGTCTATTAGACTCTTGAACTTGAGAAGATTTTGTTTGACGAACATAGCTGCACTATTGTTTGGGGCATAAATATTTATGATTGTTATGTCTTGTTGGTGTATGGTTCCCTTAAGCAGTATGTAGTGTCCCTCTTTATCTCTTTTGATTAACTTTGGCTTGAAATCTATTTTATTTGATATGAGTATGGACACGCCTGCTTGTTTCCGAAGTCCATATGAGTGATATGATTTTTCCCAACCTTTCACCTTCAGCCTATGTATGTCTTTTCCTATCAAATGCGTCTCCTGTAGGCAGCATATTGTTGGGTCTTGTTTTGTGATCCATTCTACTAGCCTGTGTCTCTTAATTGGTGAGTTTAAGCCATTAACATTTAGGGTTATTATTGAGATATGGGTTGTTCTTCCAGCCATATTTGTTTGTTTCTGTTACTAAACATGGTTTGTTTTCCTCTTTGATTATTTCCCCCCCCCCTTTACTGTCCTACCTCCCACTGTTGGTTTTCATTGTTATTTTCCTTTTCCTCTTCCTGTAATGCTTTGGCGAGGATGTTTTGAAGAGATGGTTTTCTAGCTGCAAA